TATTTTATAAAGTAATTTTTAGTGAATTTATGTAGCAATTATTATTACAAATAATTTTTTAAAGTCATAACAACAACACATTTCAGGCAATTTATATCAGCAACCCAGTCGCTGCACGGCAATCGATTCCAATCTGGTTGATCGTCGTTTGCATCATTTTGGGACTTTTGCATTGGGTCATGTTTGTTTTCGTGCTCAAAAAGGTTACAACCTTTTCATATTTATTCATCGGCAATCATTAGTTCATTCCGGATTTAATCGAGTTTTATTTTAATTTTTTGTTGAAACAGTGCGGATTCTTCCGACGTGCCAGCCACGAAAGGTTGATCCAGGAGAAGAGAGATGCCGAAGAAAATGTCAACGGCGAGGAAAATCTTTCATGTCCAAAGAATAAAAAGAAATTCGATGCCAATCTGCAAACAAAATGTGAACCTGAACAGTAACACTGGCGTTTAAATTTGTGGTAACATTTATAAATTGTCTCATCATTAGTTGCCACTGAAGTGCCAATTTGCAAACAACGCTAAATGCCTCCGAATTACTCGAGACTGTTAACTGAACACTAGTTTTCCATTACAAATCAAATCTTTTCTAGACATTTATTTATAATTTTTATGAATTTTTTCATTTTATAATTTAAATGGTTTGCATATAACATTCTATGCTTTTGTAAAACTTTTCATGACAGATGCCCTTGTAATATTTCGTAACCTCTTGTGCCATTTAACCTCTCATATGATGTGATCAATTTTCAATTAATTCAAGTTCTAAATCTAACTTTGTTTCTTTGTTTCTTTACATATTCATTTATATGTTAATTTAAAAATTTGCGTTCAGAATGAACATGGATTTTTGTTGAAAATAAAGAACAATGTGTTATTTGAATCTTCTCACTTATCTTTTTTTGCTCAGCAGTATCACAACTTTTTTGAAAATAAAATTATTCTTTAAGAACATCTAATTTTCATTTTTCTCTTCATAACTAACTCAATCAATCAATCAATGATCCTCCTTTGTCCATCAGGGGACCGTCGAGACCGATACATCTAAGCATGTTTTTTACTTTTATTTTTTCCTTTTTTCTTTCTAAAAACCTTTTCTATCTTTGGCCAGTTTTATTAAATTCAGAATACCAACACCAGTCCATTCAGTAATGTCATCTATCCATTTCTTTGCAGGTCTACCAATTTTTTTCTTTCAATCTCTTTTCTTCATTAGTACCATCGTAATCAATCTATCTTCTCTCATTCTACAAATGTGTCCAAGAAATCCCAATTTTCTTTCTCTGACTTTGTCATATACACATTTTTGTTTTCTAATTTGATTTTTGATGGTTTCGTTCTTTACTTTCTGCCTCCAACTGATTCCCAAGAAATTTCGGTAACACTTCATCTCAAAGGCTTCCAATCTGTCTTTGTTTCTTTTCTTTTCTTTATTGTCCATATCTCACATGCATGGAGCCAACTCGGAAAAACGCAAGATTCTATAATTCTCAACTTTGTTTTTATAGATATATTTTCACTTTTCCATATTTCCTTCAATGATGCGAACATTCCATGGGCTACTGCTATCCTTCTGTCAATATCTTTGATGCAGTTGTTGTCACAGGTTATAAGACGGCCATGATACACAAATTGGTCTACTTGTTCGAGTTTTTCTGATTTTATCTGAAATTCCGCATTGTTTCTGCCTTTTCCCGTAATCATGACCTTCGTTTTGAATTTGTTGTATGCAACCCGTGATTTTTTTCACCAACATGTGTTAGTTCAATTAGTTTCTGTAGATCTTCTTCAATAGAAGCTAGAAGGTTTATATCGTCTGCAAACCTGAGATTTTTGACAGTTCCCTTTCCTATGTCAATTCCATCCAATTCCAAATTTTTCATTTTTTTCCATTGCTCTTTCTAGCAGAATAGTGTTGGTGATATTGGATCGCCCTGTCTGCTTCCAATGTCTGCCTTTATCCAATCCCCAAGTTCTGTACCTATTATTACCGACATTTTTGATTCTTTCTAAAGTCATTTCAGTATTCTTACCAGCTTTTCTGATGTCCCCATACTTTCTAATGTTGCCCACAAACCTTTATGCCAGACAGAATCAAACGCTTCCTTAAAATCAACAAAACAATGGTAAATTGTCTGACCGCTACTTTTTGAATCCTCCATCAGCAGTCTCAACATCAGAATTTGTTGGATCGTGCTTCTGTCCTTTCTGAAGCCTGCTTGTTCTTCATGCAGATGTTGCTCTATGACTTTTTCCAGTCGTTCTTTTATGATTTTTTTTCATAACTAACTACTGAATCTTTTTCTCTATTTACTCCTATAACTCTTCTAGAACTTATTAAAATTATTACTTCTATGTCATCTACAACTTGTTCTCTAGATCTACTTCCTTCCACTTAACTGAAATTTCTTTACTCAACATACATAATACCTCTTGATATTTTTCATAAGTTTTCTCTTTTTTCTTAGATTAATAGTGTTGCTAGAAGTTCTTACTTTCATCTACGTAGAATAAAAAACTTTTGCCTTTTCTTGACGACCGCTGTTTCACCGTATATTTCATCTCGTCAGTGAGTAGCTTGCTTTGAAAACTACCGCGTTGTTTCTTAGCTTCAGCTTGAAGCTCAAGAGGTGTTGACGCTTATTTTACTTTGACGTTCAGCGTCGTTTATAGACATCATTAGATTTTCAATTTCAATGATTTTCTCAATTTTCTCAATTTTGTTTTTTGTCAGAAAGCACTGATGATGATTCATTCGGAATCGAAATATGACCTTATTTGCAGCATGAATTCGGAAAATAAGTTTATTTTGAATTTTAATAAACTGAACGTTCACCAAAAAACTTTAGTGAGAAAAATTGAAAAAACGAACTACAAACATATTAACGTTCGGTAGAATTTATAGAATAATGGAAAAATTATGGTCTATTACCAACATATATATATATATATATATATATATATATATATATATATATATATATATTATATAAAATTACTTTCACTATAGCAGACAAATTCCTGTTAAACCGATGACACACATGACAGCACTGCCATTCTTTTACAGTGAAGGCTTTACAAACGAATGAGCGGCTATAAACAAAGAACTGCCCCTTTAATAATATCAAATTCAGAAGTTCGCTTGATTTTGCACGAATAAAACATGCGAAAGAATTTTCATTTCTTCACAAATGAATTAGGTATCAAAAAATGTTCTTCCAAGATATTCTGTCATTTTTTTTGATAATCAGAAAGACCTGTTTGAGCAATTTTTATGCAATATTTTTTAAAGAAATTTACTAGAAATAAAGCCAATATATACAATATTAAGCCCATTTAAAAACGTTGCAAAATAGTAATTAATTACACATTTGGAACCAGAACTTATTCAAAAACTAGTGAATCATGCAAAGTTAAACGGAAATTTAAAATCATTTCTTCTGGTAAACCGTTTAGAAAGCAAATGGATGAATTCTTGTTTGAGTCTCTGCCTGCCACCAGCAGTGTGGCAATAATCTGGCTGCCTCTGGCAGAATTTGATGATGTTATTAGCCATCCACATCGCGGACCCTCCATTCCTCTTTTTCAGAGCCAATTCTTTGTAATACTCATTAATGATGCTATCATCTGAAAAGTGTATTGTAACTGGTCAAATAGTTTTACAATATAGTTAAACGTTTAAAAAGTTCATTAATTTAATTTTAAAATATGGATAATTATTTAATAAAATTTACCGATCAACTTTATAGAGCCTTTTTAAGCTTTCTATTTTAAGATTCTTGAACGTCTATTTGCATTTTAAAAACTTAAAACATTTCTTTTAACTTTGCCTTATTTGATTCATACTCATAATTTCACACTACACCCACGCAAAATATTTAGGTCAGAAAAAACTTTCTACAAAATTTTAAACTACTTATAAAAAAAATACTTGAATGTTTAGAGTTTAAATTCCGTCGCCATGCATGACAGTTTTAGGCATGGTAGGTCGTTTTATAAAAGTTATCAGTCAAATTTTTTTACGAATAGACATTTTATCTAAAATTTTACAAAATTTTTAAGATTTGCAATATTATTCATGATCCATTTCACAAACTTTTTCTCGATCGTCAATCCATCTCACAAATTCTTCATATCGATAATTTACTTTTTCAACGAAGTATTTAATACGATACAATACAGTGCGATACAATACAATACACACGCGTTTGTAGTTTTATGGAACATTCTTCTATTAGCTGTTTCATATAATTTTGTTACCCTTTTTGTACATCTCTCTAAGCTGGTGAACTGGTTTAAAAGAATTTTGGCCAACTCATAAAATTGTAGAGAGCCTACTGCAGCATGTTACAGGCCACTAATTTTATTTTTCAAGCTGAGCTGTATGCAAGTTACTGTGAAAATGTGTTAGTCTAAAATGTATAAAATGAGTTATATCAAGGTCGCTATTTTTTTGGTTCTTATCACCATTTAGCAGAAAAGTTTACATGCAACATTTTATACTGTTTTGCTACAAATTTTCCAAAACAAGTTCACAATTTTTAGATAATTCCTAAAAATGTTATAACGCCCAACTCTTTCTAGTAATTATCATCTGTACAAAATTTTCTCTTTTTACAAGTTTTAAACAGGGTTAAATTATTAATTCCGACAAGAATGACGCACTTTCCTTCACAATTTCCAAAAACTTTCAACATTTTAAGGCTTTGTACAATCAATCAATCAATCAATCAATCAATCAATCGATCGATCGATCATCGGGGCGTTTAGGTTCAATTTATATATCTAATAAGTACTCAGGAAATAATTTAGATTGAGACTTATACATTAATGTTTAAATTAAAAAAAATTATTCTATGATTTATAGGCAGCCTGTGCAAGGGAACAAGATACGGAGATATATGAGAAAAAAATAGGGGCACGAGCAGCTAGATGAGCAGAGGTGTAAAAGCTCTACTTAAATGATAGAGTATAGAATCAGGAGAGCCATAGTATCCTGATTTTGCATCTCTGAAAAATGAAATAACTTAGTTACTAAAACAATTTAGTCGATTTTTCAACAATATATACTCTCTACACAACACTTTACTCTCATAAACAATTCCGTAGCACAATTAGTACAAAAATTATTTCAACTTTTTTTCCAAAATTTTCAGTTCGGTTTACAAACTCGACAATATTTTGTTTGAAGTTTCAATTTCCTGGAATGTGTTTGGCAAATCACCTACAGGTACATGTTTTAAATATCAAATATAATAAACTAAACTTGTTTGTGACAGTTTGCTAAGTGGCAGTGGCTCAAGAGTTCTGCGACATTTTGTATTCCTCGCCGTGAATTTCTTTATACTTTTACTGTTGAAATAGAGAAACGTTTGAAACACACTTTGCTTGTTGAAACGAAAGTTTTTTCTTCGATTATAACTTAATTGGTTTGAGGCCATCTAAACATTCAAACGAACTGCGAGTAAAATCTTACGGTGCAAACGAACATTTCAGGGTATTAATTTAATATTGGTTAGGTTATGCCACGTTTTGTTATGTTACGCTGCTTTGCTCTGTTGTTTAATCTAATCTTATATTATTTGTTTGCACAAAACCACCGTTTATATTTGTCAAAATAAATTAAAACAAAATTGTGTTAAAACGAGAAATGCATTAAATTGAAATTGCATCATTGAACGATATCTCAAACTGTTGTTAAATTTCGTTAAGATTATTGATGTCATTCATTCTATAAATCGAAAAACCAATTTAAAAAGATGTTTTATTTAACAATTTAAATTGTAAACATGGAAGAACAAAAATGATTTAGTGGAGACGAACGTAACGTACAAACACGAACCAGCACGAAAAAACGTTAATGAACAAATGTAAAAAAAATATGAATGAAGAAACGTGAATAAACAAATAAGAATGACCAAATGTGAATGGGCAAACATGAATGAACGAATGTGAGTGAGCAAAAATGAAGGAATGTGAATGAACAAAATAAACAAACATAAGAAAACACATGTGGAATAACGAATGTGTTGAATCAATCGTACATCTTACCATCCTGCTCGAAGTCAAGTTGATCCAGATCTTCGAACGTATCATTGACGGATGAACCATAGAGTAGGCTTACTATATCGGCTCCCTGAGCCACGTACAAACATATTCCAACCCACAATAAAATCCTTTTTATGTATTTATCGCTCACGTTACAGACAGCCATAAGTTATGGAGTTACGATTTTATAATGGAAACATAATTTATTTACCATGCATGAAAATAATATTAGCGGAATAAACTTGGAAATTAACCAAATATACATTTGGTTTAAATATGAGTGGACGTTCAATTAACATTTGAACCGTTTTGCAAGCAAATCATCAACTTCTGTCGACATTCATTTATTGTAAGTTCAATTGAATTACTCGTCAATCTTCGTGAATGCCATCTTCGTGAGCTGCCGTATGCACCAAAACATTTCTGCCTGCCTGTTCTTGCTGCTTGTTTCATCAATAAAACATTTTTTCATAAATTTGATGTTTGAGTAGTTTAGCTTATCTGTCATTCAAATGTTTGCTCTGTTTGTCCATTAAATATCGCTTTAAAAATATCGTATAAACTTTTTGCTTCTTCGTCCATTGTTCATTGCTATTATTCGGCTTTCACAAAAGCTGACCGTTACAAATATGATTTCGAGTGGGTGGATGCAAGAATTTAAACATTATCGCTCATGCTGCTCCAATCTACACCACACCAATCCACGCCACACCGCGCAACGCCACTTCACCGCACATCATTCAACGTTCACCATGAATTTCAAATAGAATATTGCATACAACGCATCGTCATCATCATCATTACAAAAATCATCATCATAGTTGTAAACCAACAAAAGATATGGAATTAAATTTTTCAACTAAAAATATTTCTAGTTTATTTGTAAACATAAGAATTAGATTGTTTTAATTTCTGGTGGCACTGTCGTTTCCAATTTTTCCGAATGATGCAATTTAAGCGTGCCGGAAAAATCAGTTTGGTTCCTTCAGGAATGGTTTAAAAAATTGAGTCAGTGTTTTAGAGTTTTGAATTAAAATGAATTAATTTAAAGAACCCTATACACGATCCAACCTACCTGCAGGCTTGACTGCCATAGCCTGGTTTGCGCAGTTAAGTGCGTCATTCAGGCGGCCTGCGCTGGCCTGTGTGAATTCTGAATTATCTAATACAAATATGGGGTCTGACCTGAACGGTCCGTGTGTGCGTGCACAAATTTAACTACCGTTTTCTACCGCTTTTTATCTAAAGAATCTTGACCAAATGCTGAAGGCAGCACATACTGGAACTGATGATCAGAAAGAAATACCTCAGGAGCAGCGATGTTGAATTTGGTCGTCTCTACAATTGCATCAGCTGTAAAATTTGTGAGCTTGCATTGTCGTATACCAGACCCATTACAACATCTTGCAATGACATCACACAGAATTTTTCTTGTAATCTGATGTGACATAGAAACACAAAGGCATCTTCACAATTGGGTATCTGTTACGAAAATTTCCTTTTGTTGTGCACGACATTGAAAATAAAGTGACTGATGCAACATTGCCATCTGATTTTATAAAGGAACTAGACCGTTGTGGTCTTACTCAACCTACATTGCCAACTGCTTTTTTGTGAAGATGCCTTTTTTTCTTCATAGCGCTGTACATCTCATGTCGGTCCTGCTAGTGTCCAAACGTAACTGCAGAATTTACAAGGCAAAACTACTGTCATATTGAGGTTCCAGTTGCTATAACGAAACAGATTGTAACAGCTTGGCTTGTTTGTTTATAAAAGTTGAAGCTCTTGATAACGATCGGGAAAAAAGTTGGGTTGTTTACGACGACAGGAGAAACTTTCAAATGAATCTAAAGTTCTCACACGTTAAAAAACGAAAAAGTTGAATTACATAGCTATTTTATTGTCAAAATTAAATAATAATTAATTTAATAATAACTATTGTTATGACAAGGGTTAGAGGAAAATGATGGTGATAGTTTCATACTTTCATGTGTGTACAAGATGTTACCTGACATTAACAAAAAAGCAACAGATTATAGAAAATTTATAAAACACCCGTAAAAATTGTAATTTTGTTCACAAAATACATTTCGTTTGTAATAAAATATTTTAATATACACAAGATTGTTTGTATAATACACCTTTGTTGAAGGTGTCAATGGTTTATACCAAATTTTACGTTACATGGTGAAGTGGTTTTGCCTTTATGGAAAATGAACCCAAGTTTCTCGATGACAGTCCTTATTTTAAAGTGTCTATGCCATATAAATAGAATATGCCTTGTGTGTTGCGTGTATTGTAGAGTACGAATTATGATCGATCATACACTTAGAATAATTACATCTATTTTTACTTGATTCTTGTTTAAGCACCTAATATAATTTGCGTCAAAAACACTGAACAAAAAACAAACAAAACTGAAAAATGTTAATAAACCAAAAATACCTACCAAAAGCAAAAATATTTTTGATCGAACTTAAGTTTACTTTTAAAACTTTCAAGTTGTTACCTGAGGCAGGTGCGAAATGAAAAAACACTAGCGATCGAGAGAGGAAATAAAATAAATTAATAATTATTAATTGAACAATGGAACAGAAATACTTCGTTCATCTCCTAACGGTCCTTCTACTTTCTCTTGTAATAGGTACTTTTCAATTTTGTCTGCTCCATGCATTAGGATTAATTTAGTTTAGTAGAGACAGAGACTATTTAACTATTTAACTATCTAACTGTTTATTTTAACTATTAGAATTAGAGTCATTTAACATTTATTTGACTTATTTAATTTTTATTTGAACTGTTTTTTTGCAGTTTGTCTTCGAATTAAATTTAATACTTAAATAATAAAAAGCATTGAGTCTGTTGAATATTTATCTTTTAAAAGTTGACTGATCTTTGATAACAAATTATAAAATATACAAATTAATGCAAACATACATTAATTTAATTTGAAATTTTTATGAATATTAAATGATATGTTGAAGCAATTTATTTCTATTAATTAATTAATTAATACAATCAAATAAGATTTGCATTCAAATTATAATGTTTAAATATGTCAAAAGCTATAAAATCTATAAAAGCAAATAATCATTTTAAAAATTTAGTAAACTGCCAGCAGAGGAGACCTGACAACAACAGCACATTGAAGTGCTACCAATGCAATTCATTCTATGACAAAGGCTGTGCAGACTTCTTCGACAACAGAACATATCCTCTCATTCCGTGCAAAGACAATGTTACGCAATGCAGAAAAATCATCCAAGAAAGTATCTTTTATTTATATTCACCATGTTTTTACAATAATTTTACTAAGCAGCTATGTTAGTTGAATGCATCTTAATTTGATTTTATTTATTAATAATTCTGGTGACAGAAAGCCACAACATGCAAGTCTATTCATGCTAATGAACAATCATAAATATTTGTTGTGTATATACTTTTACACAAAATTACACAGTTGTGCAGATTGTTTAAACAAGATTATTATTGAAATAACAACATGAGATTATTTTGTACATCTTCAACTTAAACTGATTCATCAATTCATTCCATTGTTTTATATCATAAAAATTAAATATAAACCAAAATTTTTAAACACTTGTTTTGAGACTGACTTTTGTTTATTTGCATCAGTAAGAAAATGCATTGAAGTTATTTTTTATAATCTAAAAATTTATTTTTTTACTTTTTTAGTATTTGCTGATAAACTGTTTAAATTTTGTAATAAACGATAAAATTATAACTTGTGAAATTGCTAACAACATGCTGCATCAACTTGTGAAGCCTTCTACGAAGACCACTGGGACGTCAGGTACATACGGCAGTGTGCAGTGCAGGGCGAGGTAGGACCAGCTGAGGGCAGGTTAGATGGCTATTCTTTATTTGTTGCCTGTGTGCAATCTAGTTTTGTTCATTCAAATGTATTTGTAAAATAATTTCATTTACTTCTCAAAAGTTTCTTCGTATAAGGCGTGACTAAATAGTTGATTAAAGAGATTGAATATATAGTGTTGAATAACAATCAAAGGTGGTGCAAGGAAAGAAGTGGAGGGTACAGAACAAGACTGAAAATATGCCAGTGCAACAACAAAGATGGATGCAACACGGCTTCTCATTTTGATTCATTTCAAACAATTTTAAGTGTTGCATTCTGTCTAACATTATTATATGAATTACATAAACTAACTTGTTTAAATTAACTTGTTGCCTTTTTTGTACTTTTTTCATTAGCTGACATTTTGAAAAGTTATTTACTCTTAAAATTTGTTTTCTTGAGCGTGTTGTAAGAACTAGCAATTTACTGCTTTGTAAACAGGCTTGATTTTAAAATAGTTAAAATCATATTCTGTGACAAAATTGTTTATTGAAGCTTTCTCCAACAGATTTCTGAACCTTATCAACATATAAAAATAATTCAACTGTTCATGAGTAAAACAGTTTAAATATATTTCATATCGAACTTTCAAACAAAAATATCTAATAGCTAATAATATTAAGTTTGGATTGAAACATACAAACCATAAAAATAAAAACAAACTAGAAATAGAAAGCACCTTAATTTTTTAGCAAACAAAAAATAACCGTTTCTGAAAATATAGACTTGTTACTTTAAAAAAATCAGTATTACTATTACTATTACTAATTAGAATATTCTTGCTGAAAACAACTTGAACGAAATGGATAGTAAAACTTATATTTAAAATTAGAATTACTAACTTGATTTGTGAAATTTTGTAACAATCTTACCATGTCTTGTTGATTTTTAAAATTATCGCTTTTTGTTTTCTAAATTCGTAAATATTTCATTAAATACTGTTCACCGTTATTTGCCATGGCTAAAAATCTTTCCAATGAAAACTTTGAGTTGATAATTTCCAAAACTTTGGATAGAACTAATGAAAATTTCATTAAATGCCTCGATAGAATTCTAGAAAAATCAAATGAGAATTTGGAAAAGGTCATTACCCTTTCAAATAGAAATCTAGAAAAATTACTGGTAAAATCCGACTCAAATTTAACTAAAATAATTGAATTGTCTCACGAAAACTTGCGTAAAACCACTGTCAATTCCGAGACCCTGATGAGTAAACTGTTTGAAACAACAGTCTTAAGAATGGAAGCTCTTAGTAACAGCTTTGAGCGTGCAGTCAAGGGCATGTCAGATGCAGTTACTGACTGCATGAATCAGCTTCACATGACTATGTCAACTCTCGGCTCCACTGTTGCCGAATGTCAACAGCAGGTAGTAAAACTTAACAACGCTCCAATGCTGGAGACAATGACAAAAGCCTTGTGGACGGTGGAAGATGAACGAAAGGAAGAGGAACGTCGATCTAAAAACGTCATAATATCAGGATTAGAACCTCAGCCGGGGATTGCTGACATGGAGTTAGTTTAAAAATTCTGTGAAGATAACTTGACAATCAAACCTCAGATAAATAGAACCCGCCGTTTTGGTAATTGCAAGATGTGCGTAACTCTCAATAACTCAACATCTGTTGAAGATTTAATAGCTTCATCTAGAATCCTCAGAGCATCACCAACTACTAAAAAAATCTTCATAAATCCTGATCTTTCCAAAAGACAGGCAGAACTGGCTTATCTAAAAAGGCAACAAAGGCGTCAGAACAAAATGAACAACAACCAACCTGGGAGTAATCAGCCCTTTCGTGAAAACATCTAATGAACATCTCCGCTTCGCACTCGCCAATGTTCGTAGCATTCAGAAGAAACAAAATGAACTGGTTTTATTTTTATCAGTTTATAAACCTGAAATTTTTTCTGTTATTGAAACTTGGTTAACTCCGAATGATCCTGATAGTTTATTTTTGCCACCTGGTTATGTCTTTGTTCGATGGGACCGTGAAACACGTGGCGGCGGTGTGGCTTTTATTATCAAGGACACCGTTCCCTACAGGGTTGTCTCGGTGTCATCAGCATTTTCACATATTGAGATAGTCTCTATCGACATTGCAATCTCAAACAAGAATTACCGCTTTATTTCATATTATCGCAGTGGTGGTTTCGATATGTTGGCAGAAAAATATGCATTCGACAGCGCTCAATGTATAAAGGAACTTTGCAAAGGTGATACAAACTGTTTGATGGGTGATTTCAACCTTCCCAATATCGACTGGATAAATTACTCTGCACCGAACCATTATATCTATGACATCTTTATGGATCTTTTCAGTGAATTGGGTCTTCACCAATTGGTTGATCAACCAACTCGGGGAAACAATATTTTGGACTTGATTCTATGTGATGATGCCAGCTTGCTGACCGAGTTAGATGTTTCCTGCCCATTTGCTTCAAGTGACCACAACTGTCTCACATTTACAGTCAACTGCGCACCTAGTACCTCATCAGGTGTTGTTTTTAACAATGATACATCTTTCGATGATTTCACCAAGGCTGATTTTGCTTCTATGAACAATTGTTTGACGAGTATAAACTGGGATTACCTATTTCAGTATTGTATGGATGTTAACTCCTGCTGGGAACTTTTCGAACAAATAATCAACAATGCTGTGACAACGTATGTCCCCCTACTGAGTCATGCAGATTTCTCACGCAAGTGCACAGTTCCAAATTTGCTACGTCAATCTTACAAAGTCAAACTTCATTTTTGGAAAAAATGGAAAACAACATCTTCCTCTGACGATAGAGAACTCTATTTGTCAATGATGCGTAAATGTTCAAAACTGGCCAATCATTTTAAAAAAATCAATGAACAAAGATTGTTGGCAAAAACTAATGTTCGAAGTTTTTATCGATACGTTAATAAAAAATTGTTTTCTCGACAACAACTTAGCAGTTTGAAATTGAACGACAACAGCGTTACCCATGATCCATTGGTGATGGCTAACACATTCAACAAATATTTTGCCTCAGTGTTCACCAACGACAACAACAGCAACTGCACTTTACTTTGTCGTACCACCAATTCATTAGACGATGTTAGCTTCACTCCCCAACTAGTGTTTTCAGCTCTACGTAAACTAAAATGTACATCCTCGATGGGACCAGATGGTATTCCGAACATCCTACTAAAGATGTGTGCTTCTAGTCTAGCAGTCCCACTATGTCATATTTTCGATGCATCCTTCAAAAATAATATGCTGCCAGCTAAATGGAAAACTGCAATTGTGACTCCCATCCACAAAAAAGGACCTACTAACTACCCAAGCAACTACAGACCAATCTCACTTACATGTTCCTGCTGCGTCATAATGGAAAAAATCATCAACAAAAAAATGTTATCTTACATGTCTAACAATAAATTAATATCTCAATTCAATTTCAACATGGTTTTTTGCCTGGGAGATCCACCAACACCAACCTTCTACAATTTCTCGGGGATTGGATGTCAATTCGTCAGCAAAGAGAGTGTTGTGACACCGTCTACTTAGATTTTCAAAAAGCCTTCGACTCCGTATCGCACAAAAAACTAATTAGTAAATTACAGTCTTATGGAATTTCAGGAAATTTACTTTCCTGGTTGAAAGACTTTTTATATGAACGTTCTCAGCTTGTTCGGGTTCATAGTAAGTTGTCATCGTCTGTGCCAGTTACTAGTGGTGTTGCACAGGGTAGCGTCCTGGAACCCACCTTATTTCTAATTTATATAAACGACATAGTTGAGTGTATTTCATCTAAACCGGTTTCAATTTGGCTCTTTGCTGACGACATCAAGTTATACTGCTGCTCATCCGATTCAACTCAACTTCAACAAGTAATCAACGATGTAGTTGATTGGAGTATCAAATGGCAGTTACCCCTTTCTCAGGAAAAATGTTATTATTGTTCATTTTCTCATTCATCTAGATCTTTTAATGTTTCTCATCAGTATTTTATTGGTCAACACGTTTTAAAACCAGCATGTTACTTCAAGGATCTAGGTGTTACAATTGACAAGCAAACTAATTTTAATTTACATATCGACGATATAACTCACAAAGCTTCCTCACGTGGACGTTTAATAATCAGATGTTTTACCTCTAAAGATCAAAACCTACTCATCAAAGCATTTTGCACATATGTACGTCCTCAGTTGGAGTACTGTTCCTCTGTGTGGAACCCCCATTATAAGTACCAAGTGAGAAAAATCGAAAACGTCCAGAGAAGGTTCACGAAATCAATTCCTTCCTTACACCATCTACCGTATTTATCTCGACTACAAGCAGTTAAAGTGCAAACTCTGGAACACCGCAGACTAATTTATGACTTATGCTTTTTATACAAAATTCTTAACAAAAATATCCAAACTGATCTGATTGAGAAATTCATCCCGGTTTCGTATGTGTCGACTCGTGCATTAGAATAAGTTGCGTGAATTAAACACTAACGACAACGTGTCCAAATACTTCTTCTGCAACAGAATCATACGTATATGGAATGCGTTGCCAAAAGAAGTGGTGTCCTCAACATCTCATGCCATCTTCAAGAATCGCTTACTGGCTGTTGACTTGTCCAAATATTTACTAATCAAACAACTATTACATTAATGTTTGTTGTCATAATTATTGTGCTCTATGATAAAAATGTTAATGTTATTCGTGATTTAATGCCATTATTAACTTCTCTATATATATGTGCATGTTATGTATATATGTGTATGCGTGTATGTGTATGTATATATATTTTT